CCATGAAGCGTCTATTTTAAAATGTCTGTTAAGTTCAGAAAAAAAAAAAAAATCCTGGTTTTCTCAGACATCATCAGCATTCATACTTATCTGGCCCCTAAATTGTCTAAATGCTACCAAGGTTCCAAGAATAATGGCTTAAAAAAAAATAACTTCAGGATAACATTCCATGATGTTGCTTACATTTTCCTATCCAGTCTCTTGAAGAGAAGCATTATCTTCAAGGTCAAAGCAAAACACTGGAGAGGAATACAAGCAGTCCTCGGGTTACGTCAGAGATCCATTCCTACGGCATGACGTATCACAATTTTCTCCGTAAGTCAGAACCCACCTACATAAGCACCTACATCACTCACATGGAGCACATACACAGCAGTAATGAAGTGAAACAGTAAAAAATTTTAAAAGAAAGGTAACCATTCCTGATCTTTACTTGTGGTAAATAAATAATAGAAAACATAAAGCACATATGTACATACATCGAAATGACAGGACTGCTTTTTTTTTTAATAAATAAATGGGAGATGGTGACATAACCAAGAAACGACATTCGTTGAGTCCGACGTAACCCGAGGACTGCCTGTAATCAGAGCGAAATAAGATGTATTTTTCTTGCTAGTTCTTTGGTCCTTGGTTGCCTCATAAATAAAACAGAGCTATAATAACCCAGCTCTCACCAAGAGGTTGTGAGGCTCCCATGAAACAATGGGCATGAAAGGCTGTTATACACTAAGTCATATTATTTAAGACATTTCATTATTTAAACATTTATAGGTAGCATTAGTGCAGGAGTCGTGATTCTGTTGGTCCCAAGGCACCGTAGAAAATATCAAAGGGTTTTCTGCGCTCCCAGTGGCCAGAGCTGCCCCTCTTAGGCAGTCTTTGTGAGGCCACAGACACAGACAGACAGGAGAGAGCAAACATGTAAACAGACAAAGCAGCCACCAGGCCTCCTGGATTATTTAAAATTTCTACGCCTTATCTGCAAAACAAAACCATTTCCAGTTATATAATGCTATAATTTTATCACCTTATAAAATTTATCTCTGGGAAGGAAATAAACCACAAAGCAACATCAAATTAAGAAAACATCATAGGGTCCTTAAAATTTCTGAATAGTCAAAGCTTTACATGTAGGTTCTATTTTAAAATTGGGATGTTTGGTGGAAAAGTTGGCTTAGTTTGATTTAATTACATATTATAAGTGATTTTCAAAGCCCACCAGGGCAATATTCTGTTTGAAGGGAAATATAATAGGATAATACTTGTGAGGAAGATAAGTCTTGGGGTCAAGTAAGACAAGTCAATCTCATCAGAATAAAAACTGTACACTAATGCTACCTCAAAGCAGTATAATGTGGATACCTTCTTACACCTAACCTATTCTTCCTCCTCTCATTCCTTCCTCTTGAATTGAGGGGGTTGTTTGACCTCAAATAGTATTTTTGCCGAGTTTCATATCCAAGATTTTTTTTTAATCACCACAGAAAGTCATTGAACCTTCAGCAGGAAATTGACTGTCAGGAAACAGCTGAGCCGGCATCTGAAAGAGCATCTGGTGCTCTAAGGCAGAGGACTGAGCCGGGCAGCCTGCACCATCCATAAATATATGGAGTGCTTTGTGGACAATGTCCCTGTGTTTCTATGTTGTCCTCTTTACGAAATTGTGTCTTGATCAAGTGCCCCATCAGAAAAAAGGATGGTTGTACTTTGTCACCCCTGAGTACTGGAAATGTGGGAAGAGAGGCAGTGAGGGCAACTAAGGCTGCAAGTCCAGGCTGGCCTTCCCTACTGAGCCAAGCAGCTATGCACAGAGGGCTCTTCAAGGACCTACCTGGCCAAAATACATCCTGTGGTGACCCTGACCACCTCTCAGGCCAACTGACATAGCCACTGTTTCTCACTCTTTCCATTTGAAAACAGAACAGGGGCCCTGACTCCGAAAGTTCACTAGGAATGTCTACTATCCAAGGATGGGCCTGGACGGCTTCCTCCCACCTTCCTGATTCCACCGTTAACACGGCGGAGCTGCCGCTTTCTGTTGTTTGCTGTTGACACTCTGGAGCCCTTGTGCTCTCAGGGGCACTGAATGCACGGAAGCTATAGAAAGCCCATGCCTTTTGTGTCCACGCGTGTTCTTAGCTGAGAATGTGAGCCCATGGGAGGCTGGGGTAAGAGACACACATCCAAGAGACAAACCCCACACTGAACTGAATTTGGAATTATCCAGACACTGAGGCCTGTGGCCTCCACATCCACTAGGAAGAGTTCTTGATTCAGAAGGCCACTCATGTAAGACAGGCTACATCTCACTGGTTTTTAGATGTGTCTGCATCCCAAATGTGAAGAGCTTTGGCTGCAACTGGAGTCAGGGCCTGTGTATGCTTATATTTGACCTTTAGGATCTTCTTAGCACTAGATAATAGAGTAAAATCATTTTCTTCCCCAACTCTGGCTTAATGTCTGAATCACTGATCATTAGCTCAGCCTGAGCTGGCATAATACAATACATTGAGACACAACCATCCTTTAACTCATGAGATCTCGTGGTTAACTCTGATTCCAGGTTTCATCTCTTGCTTCCTTCCTTTTCTTCTCTGTCTCTTTCTCTCTCTGTCACTGTCTCCCACATAAATATTTATGTATTATCTCTGTTGAAAAAAAGTATTGCAGGTATCAAAGGTTGAAATATATTAGAACGTAAGTATGGTTTGTCTATACATATTGAGCAAAACAAAGTATGTATTTACTGTTATTTAGCCACAATGTTAGGAAACTGCCATTAGACATACTCTAGAATGAAATTTAGGCAAATCATTTTTAGTGTCCATGTGCAGGATTATTTTAAGCTCATTATATTTTCATGTCATTGCTGTAGTTAAGATATCAGCTATCAATTACAATAATATTTTATTTACTTATATATAAAGAACCGTTAGATTAAAATTATCTACTATATCTCAATTACATTGTAATAAAAACTCATTAATATCTTTCAGGATAAAATTTAGAATAAATCAGTTAGGTTAATAATCTTGATAATTTTGCAGTGAAATAACCCTTTGTTGTCAAGTAAATAAATACTTCATATTTTTAGTATGTTTGTAAGCTAACAATAGAAAAGCATGCTAAATTCCAAATCAACAGTGTTCTCCTTAGTTTAAGCAAAGAATTAAGTCTAAACACAGGGTAATATCTTTAGAGGATAGACAGCTATTGATTTTGGCCTGCTACAGCTCTAGACACATCCCATCCAATAGCTTTTGTGGGCATATTTAGTCCATGTAAGCTTTGCTATCTTTCTTCCTAACTGTCCCTTCCTTCTTTTAGCAATGACAATAATTAAAACAGTAAAAAAAATAATAATAAAAGAACAAAATAGATATGGAAATTCCATAAATAGAATTTCTAGGTAACTGAACTTTATTAAGTAAAAAAGCTTTAAAATTTTTTCATTAAAATATTAACAAAATATACCTAAAATATAAAGACTATAATTACATATAGCCACAGTTTTAAATTTCCCTAATGAATAACTGTTTTAAGTTATGGAACACTGATGTTGTTTGGATTTATTCAGTCATTCACTCACTCACTCATTCATCCATTCAAGCTATTTATTGAGTGCTACAATGTCCCAAGGACTGTGAATGGCAGTAGAGACAGAGCAGTGCACAAAACATACAAATAGTGCTGCCCTGCTGTCACCTTCTAGCTGGTATTTAGGATGTTTATCTCTACAACAGAGGGACCCTGACTCTTATGGTTTTGGATGTTCTGTCTCCTTCCTTTGTTGCCAGTTGTTACCTCTTACTGACACCATATCTCTTCATCTGATCTGGGTCACCATCGCAGGCCTTTTCTATATCCCTGGATGGAGCCAACTAGTGCACCTGAGGCCTACAGTATGTTCCCTACCTTCCCAAGTAGCTCCCTCATTCCTACTATGAATTGGGGGTCTTCCCTCATTTCCTTTTTTTAAAATTTTTATTAGGTTGACTCAACTCTAATGACCTGATTAAATTATCAGGTCCAAAGGTCTCTGTGACATTTTTCCTGGAAAGACAAAGCATCTAGGTGCAAATGACTCTTAGAAGAGTAGTTGTCATCAAGTATTATTACATACAAACTTTACAATCCAAAACATTACCTTGTAGTGGTAGCTCGCTTGATAATGAATAACTAAACTTCCACAGAAACTTTAAAAGGCAGATACCTAAACTTCCAGAAAGGATAAAAGTCAGTTTCTCCATATATCCATGTTTTGACCATGGACTATTAGAAGTGAAGCAAGAGGAGCAAGAATTCTGAGCTACCTTTAAGGGAATGGTGATAACTAAGGTGAAAAGGAATATCTAAGACATATACACTGATGCATATGACATCAGAGGAGGAAAGGGATCATGCTGTGAAGCCTGCTGGTTAAGCACTCGTTCTGGGACCAGACTGCTATACCCCTTACAAGTGTTTGACCTTGTCTTATCTATTCAATATCTCCATGACTCAGTTTACTCACTTGTAAAATAGTACCTACTCTCATGGCTTTATACATCAGGCTCAAATGAATTAATATAGGTAAAATGCTTTGTATTATGCCTGGTCCAGAGTAAACACTTGATAAATGTTACTTATTATTACCATCCTAATTTCTTCACTTATTTTTACAGATGAAGACACAGGCCCTAAGACTTTAAGTGAACAGAAAGTTAGAGGTAATATCAATCCCCAAACCAGGAATCGGGTTCTCAACATACTACACAGATTTTTTTTTTATATCCTGCTTAGTTAACAAATAGAAATAAATACTGAAATCATTTTAATGATCATGAAGAGGCTACGCAGTTACATGTATCTCTCTTACCCTCTAAACTGAATTATTCAAACACACCTTTGCCCAGTTACCTCCAATACCCAGTGAACAGGACTAATTCTCCAGAAGCATTGGAAAGTCAAGTAAAGCTTACCTTGATGCCCCAATAGGGCACAGTTTGCTTCCTTACCTTAAACTTGTCAACTTCAGCTTTTGAACATGTCGCATGGTATGACAGCACCTGATTCAAAAGGAAAGGGGAAAAAAAGGTTTAATAACTAGACATGATTCTATTTTCTGAAATTCTCCTGGCTTAGAAATAAACATTGCTCATGACTATCACCTTGATAAAATAGTGGATTTTAATGCACAACAAGAATTTTCCATAACACTCTGTGACACAGATTGTCATCTATGCAATTACAGTGGAATCTGTTATTATACTAAATGGGATTGTAGCTCACAGTAAAGGCTAAATATTTTACATGAGGATGCTTTTATAGGTAGTTATTTTATCAAAGGAACATGATGTGGCTCAAGATCACAGCTCCCAAAGGATGTGAATACTAAGCCTGTGAAATGCTCTGGAACAAACTAGTAAATAAATCAAAAGGTAGTGTGTGTGTGTGTGTGTGTGTGTGTGTGTGTGTGTGTGTGTACTACAGCAGACACTGTAATTGCTGACTCAAGTTCTATCTCTGGTCTATTCTGACTCGCCTGCTCTTATTATACAAAAAAGATTATAACGTTATGCCCAACCATATGCAATGGTTTTTTAGAAGAGGCTTAGATTTCCCTGCCTTATTGACATCAGCCTTAGTATAAGACAAGCTTTAACCAATGAAATATGGGAAAACATGACTGATGACACTTTTGAGCAGTCTTTAAGGACCATCATGTGGTTCTGCCACCTCCATCTTCTCCCAACTTTGGGAAATGCACAGCCTGAGATGGGCTGCACTCACCCAAAATGGTGCATTGAGCAGAGCCGCAGCACAACTTGCAGCTGATGAGATGTCACTGGAGCAATAATTAACCTTTGTGGCTTATCAGCCCATCATAACCCAGTTTGAAGGCTGCCTACAGCTAGGAGTGGTCATATGGGGTGGCCAGGTGACAATGCTGGTCAATGAGATGTAAGTGGGAGTGTTAGGGTTGCCTTTGTCTTTTCCTTTCTCTTCCTCCCTGCAAAACATAAGTGCAGCAAAATCTGGTGTCTATGAGTATGAATGACAGCTTGTTGTGGATAGTGCAGTAGAAAGGGAAAGAGAAAGGAGCCTTGGACTATCCTGCCTCCGACTTCTTGTTATGTAGGGGAAATAAACACGTTTGCTTGAGTCAGTACTGGCACATTATAAAGTATGTTATATATACCAACATATGTACACACATCCTGTGTATATGTTAGATCCTTCATATTACTAATCACATTCTTAATCTATACAATTTCAAATAAAGAAGTCTGGGAGCTGAAACCGGTTTGGCTCAGTGGATAGAGCGTCGGTCTGCGGACTGAAAGGTCCCGGGTTCGATTCCGGTCAAGGGCATGTACATTGACTGCGGGCACATCCCCAGTAGTGGGTGTGCAGGAGGCAGCTGGTCGATGTTTCTCTCTCATTGATGTTTCTAACTCTATCCCCTTCCCTTCCTCTCTGTAAAAAATCAATAAAATATATTTAAAAAATTTTTAAAAATGAAGTCTGGGAAATGCTAAATAGCTCTTCAACTAATCTTACATCTAACTTTGCAAAATACAGGTTTTATTTTTTAAACTCAGCATTTCCCAAATCTAATTTGCTATAAAACTTCCTTTTAGGTGATATATTAATCTAGTAACTTCCCCACGTAATAACTTATTGACCAAGAACTTGGAGAAATGACAATCCAAGGCATGCACCATCTGTGTGATCGAAGCAGGGCCATCTTGACTCTCAGTGGTTACAATACAGACTTTAGAGCAAAAACAAAAACAAAAACTCCTAGGCACACAACAGGATGGTGATTACCAGAGGGAAAGCGGAGTGAAGATGGTAGGAGAGGGTAAAGAGGAAATAAATAGTGATGGAAGGAGAATTCAAAACAAAACAAAACAAAAAAAGAATATACATCTAGGGCCAGACTGCCCCTCTCAGCTACTGGATTTTGGGCAAGTGTTTTAATTTCCTCAGGCCTCATTTGTAACATAGTATAATAATAACACTACACAGGCATCTCCTATTTAACATCAGTAACCTATTTTTGAAAATCAGAGATTCTATTTGAAAACACCAATAGAGAGCCCATTTTTTTAATTGGAAAAATTATAAGGTATTATAAGACTTGCAAACACTTCCTAAAACTTAATAAAATAAAGTAAAATTCATATGTATGTGTGAACAAAAAATAATATTTGGAAATAGATTGTTTTAAGTGTTACTTAAAGTCAAAGGCTGACTTAGTCATAACCAATATAGTTCTTAACAAAAAGTTGTTTTATAATCAGTAGTATCTTCTCTTCCATTGTAAATACTCTAATCACTTGTTTCTTTTCCCGGTGTTTTCAGCACCTTTTCATCTTTGTGAGGGACTGTCAAATACTAAGTAAAACAAGAGCTGAATGTTGAAGGCATGGTGGTGACTCAGTGAGGACAAGTTGTCTTTCTCAGAGCCAGCAACCCCTGAGAGGCACACCCTCATTGTGAAATTCCAAGTGGTTCTCAAATGTTTACACATGATTTGGACATTTTTTAGACCAATTTAATTTGGAATGTAAATAAAAACTTTCCCATGCCTCCTTTTGTTAAAAAGCAAAACAGAGTTTTGGGGACAAAAATATAATTTTCCAATATAAACAACGACATAAAATGGTGTTTTGAGAGATAAATATATTCTGTGAGATTTAATAATAAAATTTAAACCTAGACTTTTTGTTTTTTTTACTGGAAAAATTCTGTGGTGGGAATCTATACTTCAGACAGTTCTTAGAAAGATTAAATGATTAATACATGTTAAATATCTGGCACACAAATAATAAACTTATGTTTATTATATTAATATTCAATTACAATTCTACCATATAAATATTTGGTAGAGCATTATGTCATCATATTATCTTCACTGTCTCATAATTACAAATTGGGATTTTCATTGCAAAAATAACTAAATAGATTTTGTTCTTTTGACTTGGTTTTACTTTGGCAAACTTTAATTTGGCTGTCATGTTATTAAACTCTCTTACTACTTACAAGTCTCTTTTTGCAAATTCAATTTTCAAAATTTACTTTTATTTACTTTTTTTTTTTAATTTATTTATTTATTTATTTATTTTTACGTATTTTATTGATTTTTCTCCCTCCCTCCCTCCCCCACATCCCCTCCCTCCCCAGAGCTTTATATCCATTGGTTGTACTTATATGCATGTATACAAGTCCTTCAGTTGATCTATTATCTCCCCCAGTTCTTCCTCCCCTCCCCACTGAAATTTGACAATCTGCTTGTTGCTTTACTGTCTCTGTATCTATCTTTTGGTTCATCAGTTTATAATGATCTTTATTATCCACAAATGAGTGAGGTCATGTGGTGTTTCTCTTTCATTGATTGGCTTATTTCACTCAGCATGATGTTCTCCAATTCCATCCAGGTTGCTGCAAATGATGAGAATTCCTTCTTTTTTATGGCAGCATAGTATTCCATTGTATAGATGTACCATAGTTTTTGGATCCAATCATCTGCTGACGGGCACCTAGGCTGTTTCCAAATTCTGGCTATTGTAGATTGTGCTGCTATGAACATAGGGGTGCATATATCCTTTCTGATTGGTGTTTCTAGTTTCTTGGGATATATTCCTAGGAGTGGGATTACTGGGTCAAATGGGAGTTCCATTTTCAGTTTTTTGAGGAAACTCCACACTGTTCTCCACAGTGGTTGCACCAGTCTGCATTCCCACCAGCAGTGCACGAGGGTTCCTTTTTCTCCGCAACCTCGCCAACACTTGTCGTTTGTTGATTTGTTGATGTTGGCCATTCTGACAGGTGTGAGATGGTACCGCATTGTTGTTTTGATTTGCATCTCTCGGATAATTAGTGACTTTGAACATGTTTTCATGTGCCTTTTGGCATCCCTTCTGTCTTCTTTTGAAAATATTCTATTTAGATCCATTGCCCATTTCTTAATTGGATCATTCACCTTCCTTTTATTTAGTTGTATCAGCTATCTGCAGATGTTGGAGATTAAACCTTTATCAGTGGTGTTATTAGCAAATATGTTCTCCCACACCATGGGCTTTCTTGTTGTTTTGTTGATGGTTTCTTTTGCTGTAAAAAAGCTTTTTATTTTGATGTAGTCCCATTTGTTTATTTTCTCTTTAGCTTCCATTGCCCTAGGGGCAGTATCAGTGAAGAAGTTCTTTTGGCATATGTCTGAGATTTTGCTGCCTGTGGATGCTTCTAGTATTTTTATGGTTTCCCGTCTGATGTTTAAGTCCTGCATCCATTTTGAGTTTATTTTTGTGTATGGTGTAAGTTGGTGATCTAGTTTCATTCTTTTGCATGTGTCTGCCCAATTTTCCCAACACCATTTATTGAAGAAACTGTCTTGACTCCATTGTATATTCGTGCCTCCTTTGTCAAATATTAATTGAACATAGTGATTTGGGTTGATATCTAGGTTCTCAATTCTATTCCATTGATCTATATGTCTGTTCTTGTGCCAGTACCAGGCTGTTTTGAGAACAGTGGCTTTGTAATACAGTTTGAAGTCTGGTATTGAGATCCCTCCTACTTTACCCTTCTTTCTCAGGATTGCTGTGGCTATTCGGGGTCTTTTATTGTTCCAAATGAACTTTTGGAGAGTTCTTTCTAGGTCAGTGAAATATGCTGTTGGTATTTTAATGGGGAGTGCATTGAACCTATAGATTGCTTTAGGAAGTATGGACATTTTGATGATGTTGATTCTACCAATCCATGAACATGGTATGTTCTTCCATCTCCTTACATCTTCCTCTATCTCTTTTTTCAGTGTCGTGTAGCTTTCTGCATATAGGTCCTTTACTTCCTTAGTTAAATTTATTCCTAGGTATCTTAATTTTTTTTGGTGCGATGGTAAATGGAATTGCTTTTTTAGTCTCTGTTTCTGTAGTTTCACTGTTGGTGTATAGAAATGCCATGGATTTCTTGGCATTAATTTTGTATCCTGCTACATTGCCAAATTCATTTATTAAGTCAATTAGTTTTTTAATGGAGTCTTTTGGGTTTTTTATGTACA